CCCCCCCCCCCCCCCGCACGGCTGATTCATGGCCCCGGGAAGGAGCGTGTTGCTGCAAGACCCTGGCCACGGTGCATCCTGCTGACGTCAGGCCCTCGCCCAGGCTTCTAGGTGGGGGCTGGTGCAGGCGCTCCCGAAGCTCGCAAAGGAGCCCCGGGGCCAGGGAGCACCTGGTTACCACAGCATGATCCCCAGCGACGCGGGTGGCCCTGTGCCAGGGCTCCCAGCTGGCTCACGCCCAAGGGACCGGGCGGCTCAGGGGCGTGTCCAACCTGACATGGCTCCTGCGTGCAGCGAGTGCTGGGTTCTCAGCTCAGCAGCAGAGTGGCCATAGAGGGGCTGGGAAGCATGGTTCATGGCCTTTCTGCAATGTACCATATGGAGGAGGATGACCAGGTTTGCTTAGGATGCACAGGGCAACCGGCTGGCATCTCTGCCTAGCTCATCGGTCGCCCCTCGGCCTCTCAAGAGCTGTGCAGTGCAAGGTGCTGACAGCTCAGGGATCTGCACAGCCCCTGCCCACAGCGAGGCTCAGCTACAAGTGGCGACAGCAGGCAGCCAGGCTGCAAAAGCGTCCGCTGCCAGGCTGAGAGCCTGGAGCTGGACGGCCTGTGTTTGCCTACAGGACAGCCCAGGACATGCCTCCCTCCGGGGGACTACACCACATGCGCATGCTTCCTTCCCAGGGGCTGGGATGCTGGGCTAGTGTGTGGGCCGGTGTCACCTGATGCTCACCCACCTATTTGCTTTGCAGCCCACCTCGCGCCAGGGGTGCCTCATCTGATCTGCTGCTCCTTTCCCTTCTGCTGCGGAGGAGAGCGAGCAACAGATGCAGTCTCTACACCGACGCCAGATGTGGGGCTGGTTCAGCCAGGAACATTGAGGACCCCTCCTGTGTTCGTGACCTCTCACCTGCAGACCTGGGAGTTGATTGAGATGGGGACTGAAGTGGAGGGGAGCGAACTTCGGGAGTCGTTTTGTGGTTCAGTCAACCAAGGCTAATGTGATGGGAAGGGGATAATGGCACAGGGCCAAGGGACGGGAAAGGGGTGTGTGCACATGTGTCAGAGATCTGGGTATGTGTGCATGTTGCAAAGATTCAGAGATGTGTGTGTGTGCAAGCATGTGTGCATGCTTCAGAGATGTGTGTGTGCGCGCGTGAGGTTCAGAGATCGGGGTGCATGTGTGGATGTGCCTGCATACATGCATGTGCTTCAGAGGCTCAGAGATCTGAGTGCATGCATGTGTCTGTGTGTTCCAGAGATCTGAGTACGTGTGTGTGTGTTTCAGAGATCTGAGTATGTATGTGTGCATGTTTCAGAGATCTGAGTGAGTGCACGTGCATTTCAGACCTGAGCGTGTGTGTGTGTATGTTTCAGAGATCTGAGTGTGTGCGGGCATGAGTGTGTCAGAGATATGTGTGTGTGTGTTTCAGAGATCTGGGTGTGTGAAGATGATGTGGAAATGTGTGTGTGCGCATTAGGGGGGCAGGGGAGAGCTGCCCAAATGACCAGCGAAGTGCATGGGAGGGGGTCTGAGTGAGCCACAGCATGCAAAGGCGTGCAGAAGCAGGTTGCACGCATGGGCACAAGAAAAGGGCACCGTGTATCCATGTGCAATGCAAGAGGCATGCCCAAGATCACTCGTGTCTAGGTTTGATCTCTGAAATCCACACATACGTGCACACCACCACCCTGTTTCCCACCCTTGGCCCTGAGCCTGTATCCCCTTCCTATTGCATCAGACTTGGCTGATTGAATTAAAGGCGCCGCTGGATCCAGTCCCTTGGCTTGAGCTCACCAACAACTTACCAGGCTCAGGACCAAGCCCTTGGACTTCAGACTTGGAGCAAAGCGCCTGCTCCCTCAGCAGACCCCTGGGATCCCGCTAGGGCCTGGCTACCCCGGAAAGCCGAGGAGGCGCCAGGGAGGGCGAGAACATGAAGTGCCCGTGTTGTTCCCGGGTGACGCCTGCTTGCAATAGGAGCCTTCGCACACGGGATTCTTGTCATTCCAGGAAGAGTTATCCGAGACTCGCTCCTGGGGTGAGCCAGCCTCGAGTTGGGACAAGATTGGACAGAGAAATAGCGTGCATGTGCATGTGTGTGGGTATATGTGCATGTGTGTAGCTGCATGTGTGTGCATGTGTGTACACATGAGCATCAGCTCATGTGCTTGTGCATCTGTGTTTGTGCATCTGCACATGAGCATGTGTGTACATGCATGTATATCAGCGTATGATCATGTTTGTATATGCGCTGTACATCTGCATGTGTGTGCATCCACATGTGTGTGTATACATGCATGCAAGGGTCAAGAGGGAACCAACTGCAACCTCTCATGACAAATGCTCCTGACGTGTACAGCCTAGGGCTGCTGGCACCAAAAGAGTTAATCAGTCTCCAGCTGGGCAGTCAAGAAGTCACGTCCATGGCCAGGTCAGCACGGAGGGTGGACTGGACTGCCCCGGGGCTGTGAGGCAGAGCCTATAACCAGACATTCACACTGAATGACCAGGGACACATGAGCGTGGCTTGACTGCAGCTGGGGGCAAAGGCCTCTGAGGGGTGGGGGAGCCTGGGACTCATGGAGGGCACCTGCCCCAAGAAGGAGGGCATCTGTGCCATCCCAGCTTCATGCCAGCTCCCTGTCCAAGCCAGGGGACATGACCCCAGCTCCGTGCAAAGGCCGATGGACTCGGGCAGTGCAAAGTGGACAGAGGGCCAGGCCTGAGACCTTGGGCGGGGGGGAATAGGGGCTCCCAGAGCACTAAGGGATCCTGCAGCATGGCAAAGCCACTAGAGTCTGACCCTGCCTCTGGGGCCTCGGCCCTGGCTGGGGGTGGGATCCTGGCCTAGCAAGCCAGACCGACAGACAGACTAGATCCAGTTCACAAACTGGGGAACAGACCGAGGGATTTTTCTCCATTGCTGTTACCACCCACTTTTTCCAGCCTTCCAAGAAATGTCAATATTTGGACAAGCCACTAAAAAAAAAAAATAGAGAGCAAGCTCAGCTGTCCCAGCCCCATCGGGCTCCCAGCTGCTCCAGCCGGTGTGGTGCTGAGTGAAGGTTGCGGGGACCGCTCAAGACATTTTGGCTGCAGCCTGAATTTTCAACGCATGGGAGTTGGTGAGGTGAGACGTGCTGGCAGGCCCCCAGGCGTGGGGATACACAGGCCGGTGGGCGCATGTCAGCCCCAGCCGCCAGCCACCCGGCTCCCCCTTCCAGCAACCCTGGAGGTCAACGCGAGGAAGGTGGCTCCTCTCCCAGCCTGCTGGCTTCCACCGTCCTCCATGCTGCTGGGCTGCTGGGTCTTTACCCCCGGACTTGGTCCTGTTGGGATTGGTCTGAGCCCAGGACAACTCTAGCCCTCAAGATCAGGCTCCACCATGACCCAGACAGACATGCAGCCCCCCCACAGCATTGCTCTGGGTCCAGACACTGCCGACTTACATGCATGTACCGCCGCACTCAAGGACCTAGGACAAAAGTTCAATAAACCTATTTAACCTAAATCAGCTAAGTCTGCTGCATCCATCCAGGTTTATCTTAAACTGGTTTTGGCCATTTTGAGAGTGGTTTATATGTACTGAATTTCTGTTGTGTTGCAGATTTGAACAAGTTTCCGATTACTTATACTGGTTTATATGTAATATTGATGCCTAGCCATGGACACGGCACATGGGGGACCCTCATGGAGCTGCCCAATGCAGTTGCAGGTGCATCTCACACCTTCACAGCTACACAACATCTCTGGTGGGCTCCAGCATTGTGCACACACAGCAAGTGTGTGACGGACACGGACAAACCGGAGCCAGCAACGCTTGGGTGTCAGCACCATGGGCTTCTGCTGCTGGAGAAGCACCCAGGACCCCTGGCACCCCATGCAGAGCCCCCCCCCCCCGCTTCTATGGTTTCCAGCTAGTTGGAGTCTAAGTGCTGCCATCTTGCTCTCCCAGTCATAACCCTAGTCTTATCTGGCTTTGCTGGTACAGCTCAGTGGGGGAATATTTTTTTCCCCCAGCAGCAGAGAAGCCTCTAGCACGGGCAAGAGCCCTTTGCCAGGACTGCCCCAACCAGTTCTGCCAACCTGCAGGCAGGTTTGTTTGTCCTCCCCTGGGCTATCTGGGATGCTTCGCCAGTGCCATCAGGGCTAGACCCATTCGCAGGCTCCCTATGCACGGGGACACTCAGCTGTGCAGAGCAAGCCCAGCACGGAGACAGACACACACACACACCAGGCAGAGTTTGGAGTCTCTCCTCTGCAATCCAGGACCCCAGGGCCGTGCCCATGCTGCTGGCTGCCGTACGTGCGTGCGTGTGGCCTTGATGCTGGAATTAATCCTCTGTCTGATTCTGGATCTGCCCAGACTCGAATCTCCCTGGTGAGGCCAAGGGGTGGCTCAGCTCATGGAGGGGAAGGTGTGACTAATACAACCAAGCAATCTAGACCCGTGCCGCCCAGCCGCAGACCTCGGCGCCCTTCCCGCATCTCAGGAGCATTCAGGGGAGCAAGTGGCTTCAAGTTTGGGAGGGAACCCAGGAGTCTGGACCCTCCCTGCAGCTGACGGGCAAGGCGCCTATTGTGTGAGCCCCACACAAGCTGCCAGCTCACTCCTTGCCGGCCCTGATCTTGCTCTCACATGGCTCTCAGCCTACGGCGCCGCAGCCCTGGGTCTTTGCCCTGCAGTCAGCAGCGCGTGGTGGGACAACACGTCTGGGCCTGCGGCTAGAAACCAGGCCAGACCCCACCCCAGAGCTGGGCATGGAAGCCAGGAGTCCTGCTGTCTGGCGCCAGCTCCTTCCTGTCCTTGATGTCGATTACACCCTCCTTAAAGAAGGAAATAGGTCCTGGCTCCAGACCCCTGCAACCACGGATGGTTGCAGACCCCTGCAACCATGGCCCCAGGCTGACACAACACAGGAGTTGAGGTAGATGCCATCTACCTAGACTTTAATTAGGCCTTTAATACGGTATTGCATTCTGTTCTTGTAAATAAACTGACAGGCTGTGATGCAGATGATTACACAGTCTGGTGGGTGGCAAATTGGCTTAGGGATTGGACCCAGAGAGTGGTGGTGGATGGGTTGAGATCAACCTGGAAAGATGTGGGCAGTGGGGTCCCCCAAGGCTCGGTCTGTAGACCGGTGCTATTCAATGTCTTCATCAGTGACTTGGAGGAGGGCGTGGAGAGCACCCTGTCCAAGTTTGCAGATGATACCAAATTATGGGGCAAAGTTAACACAACAGAGGGTAGGGAATGGATCCAGGTAGGTTGGAAAAATGGGCAGAACCAAATAGGATGCAGTTCAACAAAGACAAGTGCAAAGTGCTGCACCCGGGCAGAAAGAGCCACCAACACACTTACAGGCTGGGGGATGACCGTCTCAGCAGCACAGCAGCGGAAGGGGATCTTGGAGTCATAGTTGACTCCAAGATGAACGTGAGTCGTCAATGTGATGAAGTGATCAACAAGGCTAACTGCACTTTATCATGCATTAACAGATGCATGATGAACAGGTCCAGGGAGGTGATGCTTCCCCTCTATGTGGCAGTGGTCAGGCCGCAGATGGAGTACTGCATCCAGTTTTGGACGCCGCACTTCAAGAGGGATGCGGAGAATCGTGAGCGAGTTCAGAGGAGGCCACTCATATGGTCAGAGGCCTGCAGGCGAAGCCCTAAAGGAGAGACTGAGGGACCTGGATCTCTTCAGTCTTCGCAAGAGAAGGCTGAGAGGGGATCTTGTGGTTGCCTATATATTCATCAGGTGGCAGGGAAAAGGAGATGCTCTGTTTACTAGGGCACCCCCTGGAGTAACTAGGAACAAGGGCCACAAACTGACAGACAGCAGATTTAGGTTGGACATCAGGAAGAACTTCTTCACAGTAAGGGTTGCCAGAATCTGGACTGGGCTTTCAAGGGAGGTGGTGCTCTCCCCTGCCCTGGGAGTCTTGAAGAAGAGACTGGACAAGCACTTATCTGGGGTCATCTGACCCCAGCGGTCTTTCCTGCCCAGGGCAGGGGGTTGGACTCAAAGACCTACTGAGGTCCCTTCCGACCCTGACATCTATGAATCTATGACGCACCAGACCCCTTTGCTCCCAACCTGCTGAACCTCCTGCTCCTTACCCTCCAGCCTGACTGCCTGGGGCTTTCGAACCCAGCTCCCATCCCAGCTCGGCCAGCCAGGAAGCATCGCGGCCAGGCAGGAGAGAAGTGAGGACACTTCGTACCCAGCTTCTAATTGCAATCAGTGCCGGGGAAGGCCAGGGCGGCCAGTACATACTAACACGCCGTGGTTCCCCCCCCCGCCCAGCTGCGGCTGGGGGGACGCAAGCAGGCAGCTCGGTGCGCCGGGCCGTGCGGAGATCGATATGTCATTTCTCGTGGGTTAATTCCACCCCCCAGATCCCCCCCCAGCCCCTCCCTGTTGGTGCAATGGCAAATTAAAATAATAATAAGAGCAGGCTGGGAAGGAAAACGGAGGCACGAGAGGCGGCAACGCAGCCACACTCCATCAGGCGGGTTGTGCGGGGAAAGCGGAGCTGACAGAGGACTATTAACGGCATCACCTGCCAAATTGAAAGCTCGTTCTGCTCCTAACTCCCCTCCTCCAGCATCCACCCCCATCAGCACCCAGGAGCAGAGTGGAGGAATGGGGCCAGAGAGAGAGGAGAGGAGCGGAAAGAGGGGGAAAAGGGAGAAAGAGGGAGAGCAGAGAGGAAAGGGGGAAGAAGGAAAGAGGCAGGGATGAAGGATGAGAGACGGACGGTTCGAGGGCACGGGGCGCAGGGAGGAGACAATGGCCCAGGAGAGGAGGGCGCGGGCCCGGCTGTGGGCGGCAGGCGAAGCGCGCGGCTCGCTCCAGTTACAGGGCCCTCTTCATGTCCCATTAGCGGCAATGAGAGGTGACAGCTGTGGATCGATAACAATCGTGGCAAACAGACTCCCAGTAATAAACCCATTTCACTCACATTTCTGCACCCCCTCCACACCCGCCCCCGGCTCATCTCGTCGCCCCGACACTCCGCCGGCTCCTCCTCGGCACCCCGGCCTCTCACCCCTGCACTCCAGCGTCCCACCTGGACCCTGCCCCCGGGACCGTGGGCTCTCCACGCACAGACAACTGCAGCCCATGCCCCTCACATCCTTGCTACCCCAACACCTTTGCCTCTAGCACAAGATGCTACCAGCGCGGCCACCTCCATGTGGACACAGCTGAGCTGCTGTTTCTGGAAGAACATCTCAGTTTATGGCAGAGCGGTGTCTACACTAGGGTCCTGGCTGCCGCAGTTACAACAGCTCCTGGTGGGTGCCCTGGTCCCAGGTCTCCTTTGTGCTGCTCCTGAAAATCAGGCCCATGATCGTCCTCCAGCCCCGTATCCCAAGAGCGGGCTGCCTCTCCAAGGCCAACTGAGGACAATGGCCGCATAGGCAGGAACTGGGCTGGATGAGGTTTTAATTACCGGGTATAAAACCAGGTGAAGCAAGAGGCTCGAGTCGGATGAAATGGGCTGGCCTTGGACTGTCCCTGCATACAACAGGCCCCTCCATAACACCCAGGACAGAGCAACGGCCCTGCAGGATGGATGGACGACAGGATGGAGGGAGAGATTGGGAACCCAGAGGGAGAGAGGCAGGGGCAGAGCCACCCTGGGTTGGGGGGCCAGGCCAAGTCTGACTTGGGTTTCCACTCTAGAACCCCTCCAGAACCAGGAGGGAGCAGGGTGTCTAGAAATGTGCCTGGTCCAAGCGGTTTTGGACACCACAGCCTTAGCCTTGTCCTGGGAAAGCAGAAAAAAGGGATAGGATGCAGGTGGGAGCCATACCAGTGCCTGGGAGGCGGCCTTTCTAGTACAGGGGCTAAGGGACATGCCCATGGTCATGGCAAGAACCTGTGGCAGGCCCCCAGGCCCCCATGCTCTCCGCAGCCCTGTGAGCTCCATGCACTGGCAGGAGCCGGCTGCGCTGTCCTACTGTGGCCGCTCCCCATCACCTGGTGTCTCGCCAGGGACGGCCATCCCTGTCTTCGGCGCAAGGGGAGGGAGGGGGTGTTTGTGCAGACTAACGAGGGCCGGGTAAAGTTTCCCGTCCCCAGGGAGGTTTCTAAATTAATAGCGGGGATGCTGGCTCTACTCCCTGCCAGGCGGCATCGATTGCGGTGAGCGGGGGCAGGGGGGGCGTGCACTGGAGAAGCTTTTGCTTTGCCTTCACGCTTGAGAGCCCCAGCACCCCCACCATCGATGCTTCCTTTTTCCTTTGCCTGCGCCAGCTCTCTACCTGGGTCAAGCTTACACGTCTCTGATTCAGTTAACCTAGAAGGTGCACCTCCACCCTGCCAGGCACTGGCTTACAGGGCTCCACTCAGCTCCCAGCAAGGCACAGGCCCTGAGCTCAGTTTTGCAGGGAAACAATGACACACCTGGTAATTAAAACCTCAATAGTAGTTTTGGGCCAAAGAGATGCCCACTGTTGAGACCCAGGCAATTGGACAAGAAAGGCACCTACTTTCCAGCAAGGCCCAGGGCATTGGCCGGCTCTGGCTCCTGCCCTCTCTCAGGCAGCCAGAGCCCATCATCTCCCCCAGCCTGGGCCTGAGTCCTACCTGAAGCAAAGCTCCCCCTCTCCACGGTGTCACTGCACCATCCCTGTGGGTGACACTGCCGCCTGCAGCCACAGAGAGCTGCAAATGCCAATGGGATCATGTGGCCCACGGAGCAGGGTGCTGGGGACATGCCTAGAGCTCATTCACTACCCAGCCCCAGAGCAAAGAGGGGCTAGTCCCTGATGAAACCCAGCAGCCTCCCTCTAGCCCCAGCAGCTGTGTCCCCTGCTCAGCCCTGGGGTCCCTTGTGGTGTCTCCATTTGAGCCAGCTAATGAGGCAGCGTGAGAGCAAATTCTGCAGAAAACAGGTACCCCCATACACATGTGCATCACCAGGTGAGGAGTCAGGACTGGGGAAACCCATGGGGATCATCCTATAGCTGCACGGGTCTGGGCTTCTGCTCTGCAAAGAGAAGGTGGTTAAGGCCGATGGTTTTTTACCCTGAGAGACCCAAGGGCAGAAATCTCACAGGACGGGGCCCAGAGAGCATTTGGGGCCTTTATACAGTCGGGAGCCACGTGCTGCCTTCCTTCAGCCAGTGATTAGCAAGGGCGAGGAGCCTCTGCCTCCCAAATGCCTCTTCACCCGTGGCCCATCTATCTACCCATTCCCGTGCAAACCAGCTACCTATGCTAGTACGAGGACATCCAGGCCATGTCACAGAGCCGGCAAAGCACCTGTGTCCATGCTGCTTGGCTCCATGCTCCCATCAGGACATGGAGCTAGGAGCTAGTTCAGACACAGAAAATGCCTCTCCTCCCAGCTTGGGGAGGGCAAAAAGTTTGTGGCTCCCAGCCCTTTGCTCTGTGAGGCTGCAGTACAGCGGGCGCTTGTGGGACACAGAAGACCCTGGACCTCTTACCTTTGCATCTCCCCTGAATGGCCCAGCCTGAGCTCGGCCGATCTGCCCCCACACCACTGGGATGATGCCTGTAGACTCCGGAGAGGGCTCTGGGTTGATTCCTCTTGCTGCATCCAACATATGTGGGTGCATCCTGCTCTCCTGGGGCCAGCCTGGCATGAGATTGTTCTGGCTGCTTACAAAGGGGATCTGGTGGGGAAACCTGTCCTCTTTGCCAGTGGTGGCTGCCTGCTTAGAAAGAGCTGAGGGCGCATCCAGAGGGAAGTCAGTGCAATGCCATGCAAAGAAAACAAGGTGTTCAAAAGGCAGGTGTCTAGTGCCCATGCAAAGGCCGCATAACTGGCCAGACTGGGCTGTTGCATGGATGTAGCAGAAACTGCACCCACGAGAAGCAGTGGTGTTGGTGCTCACAGGCAGCATCAGACCCTGGCAGGCCATGCAAATGCCAGTCCCTTCCTACCCCAGGGCACCCACGACCTTGCACGGGCAGAACTACATCCATGCACTTACCTGGAAGAGGGCTGTCTTATCAAAACCAAGCCAGTGAGACGACTGCTACAACAGAAACAAGCCACAGAGAAGTGAGAGGGGGAGCAACCTTTTAACCAGCTTCTCTAGCATCTCCTGGCCCAAATCTCAAGTGCTGTGTATACCCCACATACGCCCATCCATGCCACACTGGTGCCAGTGGCTGCATAATGGCACCAATATAACTAGAAGTCTCAGACACCAGTGGAAAAAACATCTCTGCTAGAGATTCACTTGGTTTGGAGGCAAGAGGGAGACCCCAGTTTCTGTGCTTGGCTCTGCAGAGTGGGGAAGACCCCTGGCCCTCTGGGCCCTTCTGCAGGGTCTCTGGGGCAGAGAAGGGCTCTCCTTTCTCTACCAAGAGCAGGCCTTGGCTGCGAAGGGGCCCTTCCATGTTACAGATGGGACTGGGTCTGTTCTGCCCGACCTGACGAAGCAGCTCCAGCAGCTTTTCTCTCTGTAGCTTCCTCCTACAGGCCCAGAGGGGCTGGCTGAGGATTTACTCCAGGGGGATCAGACTCCAAACCCAGCCCTCGAGCCAGCCTGGCTGCAGGAGAGACTACCCAGAGCTGCAAAGCACCCGGACACTGGGCAGCTCTCAGGAGGGAGGCTAAACCAGCAGCCAGGCAGGAGCTTGCTGGGAGACCCCTGCCCCATCTCACCTGCCCTGGGGGGGAAGCGATCCAAAACTTTAGCACCTCTCTAAGGGCCACTTGCTGGTGCTAGAGGAGAGTTAAAAACCAGAGCGAGCGCACGGTGGGGAAAGGGG